AAAGGAAATAACTTGAGTGAAACAACAAGAATTCTGTCCACATTTTTGAACGAAGTATATTAGTAATTTCATATTACAGTCCTCATTTACGGTAATCTAAGTTAAATGTAAATATATTCATATATTTTCAACTCAACTTTGAATTTTAAATGTAATTAAAATAATTATAGAAATTTACAGAAAAGGAGATGTAGTATTAAATTATTTAATATATTATTATATAAATAACTTTTAAAAGCATCTTTTATAAGTATATATACATATATTATAAGAAAATATTGTCTACCTTTAGCTCCCTCGATACTTCTACGCCTCATTTTGAAGGTGAGCGAACTTTTAGTTTTCTAGGTTAATACAGAAAAGGGCACAGTATATGCCTCTGGAGAACATGAGCACAAATGTTCACAATAGAAAATGGCATATATACTACGTACTTTGGGGAAGTTACGGAAACAGAGGTGATAACACGCAAATAAGCGAATAGAAAAGAAGGCATGAAGCTTTACACGAATGTAAAACAGCTATTTATCAATTTAGATTAGAAAGAGAGAGAGAGAGAGAGCGACTTATTTTATGGATTTCGTTTATTTTAATCAGAGTTACGAGGGTATAAATAAAATACAAAATTAGAAGGCAATAAAATACTGTATATATATATATATGTGTGTGTGTGTGTGTGTATTCGACGACACGTTTGGCTCAGTTTGTAGTTAACCCTACTTGCTGCGCCAGCGGACGCGGGTTCGAGTCCCGCTAGGGGCATTCATTTGTGTGATGAGCACAAATGTTTGTACTACAGTCATGGGTGTTTATATTTATATATGTATGTATTTAAAAGTTATATATGTGTAGTGTATCAACTATCTGGTATCCATAACACAGGCCACGTAGCTTACAATGAAACTAGATGGTGATATATTATATATATATATATATATATATATATATATATATATTTATATATATACATATATATACATATGTGTAATGTAAAACTATTAGGCATTTACGTTTCTATATAATATAGGGCACTTTAATTGCCTAACCGCGCGCACACGTCGCGTTCCATTTTCCTTGTATTGATAATAGAAAAGCAAAAAAAGCTAACGTAGTCGAGTCGGCGTAGTGCTTCGGAAGCAGAATAGAGCAATCAGGACGAATACTTTGACACAGCAATTCGGTGGCGCATCACATGTATTATTTTTATCTATAGACTGTATCGCCTTTGTGCGACGCTGGCTCACACATTCGCTTTATGATTTTTAGGTTCCGATATTTCCTTCTAAATTGAAGCTATTGTTACCCAAGTTTATAGCTTGTAAGTTAAAATTTGTCACACACATGGTTTAGTGCATGCGTTATACAAGATAAAATCTCTATTAGTGCGTACTTAATGAACATTCTATCAGTATTTTTATTATGGCAAGTCTAAAACATTATAATTATTGTTTGAACGAAATTAATTTAATAAATTAAAAAGGAAGGTTTTCAGATAGTGTGTTTCATACACAATATTAAATTATAACATAAAACAATTTTCAATTTGATATTATTTTTTGTTAAAAAGTTATTATTTGTCAATAGACTTTCTTTTGTTTGCCAAGTTAACAGTTAATGAGTTTGTGTCAATGTTACAAACGGAATCTTTATCGATTACAAATTATAGAGATTCTGGAGGACAATGATGTTTCATTTCTATAGGGTTTTGAAAAACAGATCTAGTAATCTTTACTTAGTCACTGATGTCTTTTGAGCAATATATGTAAAAAAACCCACGGCAGATAATATCTGTCAAAATTAGCGAATTACGTTCTACAAGAACTTTAATACAGGCAAACATAATTATAAAAAAAGCAAACGAAATAGACCAGAAAATCTCGATTTTAAGAAGTTTTATACCCAAAGATTTATCAAATTACAGAAAATAAATTAATATAGCGTTTATTTAAAAGACAAGAAATGGTAAGATTTCGACGACCATTGAATTCAAAGTGCCCTTCGATGCTAGCAAGAAAAGTAAAAATATTCTACTTTTAACCGACTTGTTTTGTTATTAAATCATAATTTTAATTATTAAACTAAATTTTCAATTTAAATTAATACAAACATATCTGCAGTGCTATTCATGAAATTGCTATTCATGAAATAACATCAATTATGAAAATTTTAACTGAGTTCATTCATTTCCAAGCACGAGTTATATCGCATTATTTACAAACATTATTTACAGTATTTAAAACAATTAAACCTGTTAATAACGAGAGTTACGCGCAATCCTTGCTGTGGATTTTATGTGACAATTCCATTATTTGCAGTATTGATTGGTTCGCATCAATCGCGATATGCAAATATTAGCTTCGCTGGCTGACCGGTAGGCTAGTGATTTACGTGTCGCGACGCTCTGTTATGCAATTATGTCAGCTTATTAAAAATTTACTTTGAAAAACTGCTGCAGGTTAAAACATTGTACTCGTAAAGTTTAGCGACGGCGGTAATCTTGTGTTGTAACATTAATCGTGCGGGGTGGGTGCGAGTTTCGAAGTCGTAAAGCAGCCTCTCAGAAGCACATTGCGCGTGGCTCGTGTCACCGTTCAGTATATGGGGACGAGAAACCTGTGCACAGCGGGGGATTTCATGTAGGTACGTGATATTACTCTTTCTTCCTTCGTTATTATCATTTTCATATACATACATTTTATGTGTTTAACACTTTTCAGTAATAACTAATTGGAAATTAACTACGGCTAAATAATTTTGATGATCGAATTTAAAATAAAGCGTGATTTTGTAACATTAGGTTATATTTATTACGAGCAACTCACCCTAGCGTCGCTCGGGTTCGTCGCTAGGTACGTTTTAATTTTTTTGAGCGGAACCCTACTTTTTTTAAATAAAAGCCTAGCCTATGTTACTCCCTATAACATCAGCTATCTTTTAGTGAAAGTCACGTCAAAATCAGTCCAGTTGTTACAGAGATTATCCGGAAGAAACAGACAGACAGACAAAATTTAAAAAAAATGTGTTTTTCTTATAACTACAGTATGTAATTTCATATGCATTTAGTAAAATGCTGTTATTTTGACATTACAAACAGAAACTTCAATTTTATTTATCTGTATACGAGTAGAAGAAAGGCTAATAAAAGTTAATTGATAAATAATAAAGACGAACATGACTACGAGTATTACAGAGTTTTGTTTCAGTTTACCAAAAAAAAATGTCAAATACGCCCGGGCGGTCTTCACCGAATGGTTAATATAATGTATGCTAATGAGGGCGGGCGGAACCAGCGGACGTGACGTCACGCGTCGGACCGCAGCCGCCGCTTAACGAGCGGGTGTGCATTTTCAATACAAAACCTGCTGCTCGCCAATAGGCTACTTCGTAAAGATAAAATGAATTTAACTTAACTGTCATAATTATACCAAAGATAATAATGAAAAGGAAAAATCTATACCATTATTATAAAGAAGTAGAGTAGTTTGTGAGTTTGTGACGTTGTAGGGGGTAATAACCGGATCTACTGAATCGATTTAAATGAAATTTGGCAAGAAGATAGTTTGGGATCCTAGGAAGGATAAAGGATACTTTTATCTCGGAAATCATCCCTTAAGATTGTGAAAATGGGGATGAAAGTTTGTATTGGGAAGCAGGGTAGGGACGACCCCGAGCGAAGCCAGGACGGGTCTCTAGTTTTTATATAAATATTTAATTCCTCATGGACACAAGATTAATATTGTAGGAATACATTGACTAAATAAATATTATTTTGTAAAAACTAACACAATTTGGAATAGACCTCCCTTCCGGCCGCGGGGCGCCGCCTTAGTAAGACCGATACATATTATAACTATTCAAGCGTCAGCTCATGATCGAGATCTACTTCTTTGTTCTAAGGCTTTTGCCCTTTACAAAAAACAACAAATTTATTTATAGCATTTATTTAGATTAATAGTTTATGAACAATTTGTTGATCTTTTAATATGAAAACAATTTTTATTCTGAAAATCATATAAGTACATACATAGTGGCTTATACAGTTTTTTCGCCTGGAACGCGTCATCTATCACGTGGTGCCGACTGATTTATGGCAGTAGCGTAACAGAGCGACATGAGCCTAGCCTACTCCCGATGACGACACGATTAGAGGCCAGGGGCCGAGCGGGAGACAGTGAGGGTGACTTCACAAAATCACGTGACGTTTACAAGTAAGCAATATATGCTAACAAATGTTCCTTTTTACTAGAAACTAGTTCCTCATTTGAGCTATTTTTACCCGACTGCGGCGAAGCAATAAAGAGGGTTATGTGTTTGACCTGTATGTATGTACATACGAGTATGTATGTATGAATGTATGTATGTCCGATTCTAGGTTGCGTAATTACTAAACGGCTCAACCGATTTTGATGATTCATACATCATGATAGCGCGAGTGTCATAGGCTATATAGATATTATTAAAAATCAAAATGGCGGATTCTAGGTGCCAATAGGTGTATCTTGGAAAAACATTTTCACCCGAATCAATCAAGTGGGGTATCAAAGTATAGGTTTTTAAAAGGCGATTACAAAAATATATACTACTTATATGTTTAAAAGTAATTTAAAACGAGATATTGTTAAATAAAACTAAAAATGTCTAACTGAACAAAACTAAAAAGCTTTAAATAAAAAAAATATTTACATAAATTTTAAAAACGCGACTGCGTAAAAAGCGAACTGAAAAGATTTTTTTTTGTTATTAAATATTTTTTATTACAGATATTTCAGCTCAGTATTGCGAAGATAACTAGACTGAAATAAATTATTCATAGATTACAGATAGTTGGTGGATTTTATTTATTTTAGTAATAATAAGGGCTAGAATTTTCCTCATACAATGTATTCATATATATTTTAAATAACCTTTGTAATAATACGTCGCAGTCGGAAAGTCATAGCTATCAACTCGGTGTTCCCGCGAGAAAATTGCGAGTATTCATCATAAATGCGTGACGTTTAAAATTTCCAGCCGGCAGCGGTGTGGTATAAATCAAAGCAAACAGTAGTTTGGATGGTCTCGTATCCGCCGCCCAACCTGTATATTTAAATTATCGCATCTTTTATACAATCTTGTCTAATATTTTTTAGTAAATGTTAGTTTTTTAATGCATGGGTGTATTATTATTTAGCAGTAAAAGATTGAACAGAAAACATCACAACGACAGTAATTTGTATGTGGCTTTGGTTAGCAATAAATATTACAAAATTATTTCTGGTATTGTACGAGCCCAAAACAGAATTACGCGCTCATCTGCTAGTAGATATAGGCTCATTACGCATATTACACAATAATCCAAACCGTGACCGTAATTTATGAGTGTTGTTTGCATTCCTGTGGAAAGTTACATTGTAGAGTGTGAATTATATTTTTATGTTTCATTTTAATGTAAATGAACAATAATAGTGACACATCAAATTAAGTTGACTTTAGTAGGGGGTGATTCTCACGCGTGCAATTCCTGTGCTCCTTGCTCTGCACAGCCGCGTTCGCGAAACACCCTACTGCATTTATTCATGTCGTTACCGCTAACGATAATTTTATCGTGTGCTCATTTGCCGGCGTCAGTATTGCAGCCATCCGTCAGCGGGCAAATCGTCTATTTGTGCGGAGCACTAAAACTTTTATTGCTTCATAATTGACCTCGTCGCGTCTGAATAATCCGCGAATATGGGCTTTTATTGGATGTTGTTTTTTATTTATGTACTTTGTGTGCCTATTTTATATCGATTTTGCTTTACTATTACATAATTTGATACATAATTATATCTTATCCTTAAATAGTTGATAAAGATATTTAATTATTGCACATTTCTATACTCTACAGCAAAATAAACACATTATATCTACAGGAGTCCCAAGTTTTATATTAAATCAAACATAGCCATCTTGAAAACTTCCTTAGTAGCGATGTTGGTAATTGAATAAAGCAGTAGATAGCGATGCTCGGTTCTATAGGACGTGGCTGGCCACTGTATGGCGCGGGCGACTGCGACATAATTGCACAAACTTTCATGTGCTTCGCATACATTTTCATAATTAAAGGGGCAGTTTGTAGCAACTGCTGGTCGACATTATTTACACCCTCTTGTCTTAACAGCGCTTATTTTTATTGTTTTATTGTAACATTTTTAAGAATCGATTACGAGGAAAATGACGACAGAGAAATTAATGTAATAAAGTCTAATTACACATTGTTAAAAAAAGTAGATAATATGATAATTTATTTATGATTCTTTATGGCCTTCTTCACAATATTAAAATGAGTGCAAAAGTTTTACCCAAAAAGCTAATGTAAATGTATAACCTAACAGCCTCGTTCACGTTGGTATCGCATAATTTTCAGCTAAAACTTGCGGGGATACGAAGAAAAATGAAAAAGGAAGGTCTTTTTACAAGCCCGAAGTAAATATCTTACTTTTCCATTAAGGACATAAAAGCAATTCCGCGAGAGCCGAATAATAACGAGGGGCAGCGCTGTCCGGCCACGGCCTCCTCTGAATTTATTTGCATCGCGGGGTTTCTCTCGGGCGCAGTATAGGGCGCCTCCGATTGCCCCAATAATCGTTTTTGTGTGGCGCCGGAAGCAAAGAAATGTGGGCCAGGACGAGGGCGCGGGAGCGAAAACACCGTCGCCGCTCCCGCCCGAGCCAGTCTATCGCGCTCCGCGATCATTGCCTGTGCAACTTTAACATCGCTAAAGAAAACTTTAAACCTTCGAGAAAATTCGAACATAGTCACTCACATATTATGTATATATGATATGATTTTCTATTTATCTGCAGCACCATTGGACATAATATTAATTTATCTTATATTTAACAATTTATAAAATTGAAGAGAAGATAAATTAATAGATAAAGAATATTTGATATTGTATGGAGTATGCAGCAGAATCCATACTAATAATATAAATGCGAAAGTAACTCTGTCTGTTACCTTTTCACCGAACAGATTTAGATGAAACTTGGTGTGAAGGTAGTTTGAGACCATGGAAAGGACATACGAAGTTTTTATCCCATAAATCATCCCTTAAAGTGGTGAAGAGGGGGGTGGGTGAATATATATTTATATATATATATATATATATATATATATATATATATATATATATATAACATATAGTTTATCTATTCCACACTAACAGTTAAAACGTGCCGTTCTATAAATATATTGGATAGACTATAATAACTCTTGCATAGACAGTGTGTCTTCAGAATACCTTGACAAAAACTACAAATAAAAGACTAAAATTACCTCCTATAGGTAAATTATTTTATTTTTAAGGATGACTAGATCTTACTTTTGTAGAACTTTTGTTTGTACTTTTTATAGAAGATAAAAAGGCGTATCGAAATTCCTACAATAATTTACATGTGCTGCGTGATTAAATTAATTAAATACTAAATTGTTAATAGGAATTTTATAATATAATTAGAAAATATTAAATGTATAAATTTGAATTCTTCTCGGTTATTTTATAGCTTAGGTTTTTAATAATGTTTCGCCAACCATAATTTACAGCTATCAAACAACTAAAATGGAAGTGAACATGTAATTAGAGGAACAGAAAAATTGTCAAAAACTATAATGAACTGGCACACGGGACATAAGAAAATAAAATAGGACGACCATTTAAAAGACAGGTCGATGAAATAACAGATGTAGCTGGGAAGATATGAACCAGAAAGCTTTGGAAAGATATGGAAGCAGTTGGAAGAGGCCAAAAAAAAATTCGGATAAGTGCGAGTCGGACTCGACCACCGAGGGTTCCGTAAGTAGGAAATCTTTTTAACATTTACTTTCAACTTTTTTTATTTTTTTGGATTTTTCCTTTATTTGTGCTGTTAGACCTTGCTTTTTGCCAAATTTCGTTTTCGACCCAAAACCTACACATGTTACTAAGCGTAACGTATATCGATAAAAGTTGTCAATATTTGTTATAATGCAGGTTATAACCTAATTTATTTCAAATTTCACGCAAATCTGTTGAGTTAAAACATAGTAAATATATAACAAACACACACTCATTTCGCGTTTTTAATATTAGTGTAATTAGTAAGTAGTAGTTACTATAATGTTATGTTAAAATATAATGTAATAAATATTTATTTATAATATATTAATTAAACTTTCCACTCAGTATACTCGTAAAATAACTAGTTTTATTATAAACTTAAAATAAGGATTGTTTCATGGTACATTTTAAGTGCATAATATTTTACATTTTTCCGAGATTTATGTTAACGATAGAACCTTACAGGATTTTTCTGCTTAATGTTACAGTCGGAATCGCATTTTAAAACAAGCTTACATTAAAAAGAGGAAAAAAATCTCTTATTCGTGCTTAAACAAAGAGCAGGGAAGCTTATAAAAGCTAATGTATGGAACTTTTAGTGTCTTTATCTGGTGCTGTGAATATAACTTTCGGAACTTTTGTTTAAGTAGTTCTATTAATTAAAAACTGAAGGACTGCTTGTTTTACGAAATTGTGTACAATGTAAAGTTACACAATACTATGATAATATGTTGGTACGGCAAGCTATGTTGGCACATGAAGTATTAATTTTTATTAATTAAGGAGACACGAAAGTGCATGATAATACTCTTGTGAATCTTTCAGCAGTACGTTCACACTTAATTTTCTTGGAACAGCGGTAAGAAATAAAGTTAAAATTAAGACGCGAGTTTATGGGGCGTTACGGGGTGGGGGAGCGAGGTGGTGTACGGGCGGGGGGCGAGGGGGAGGGGAGGAGAGGTAGCTGGCGCGGGAGGCGCGGTGTGAGAGGCCATTCGAATTCACCGCGCGAGCTGCGCCGTAGATAGCGGCAGGCGGAACACGTACTTCACTTCCACTAACTCCAACTATTGACAATATTAATGCACGTTTAGCAGGGCCAACCGCCCCATGCGCCGCCCACGGAATATTGCAAAAACATTAAATCCCCCGTTGAAATAACCGCTTTCGTATGGTGGTCATTTTGTGATGTTTTATTTTCGTCCTCCGACGGATTGAGCTTGCTCAAATTAATTTATTCCATATCCATCGCTAAGTGAGTCTCCGGAAGTAACGCAAATATTAGACGGGCTCGGCCCACGACGGCTGCCATTAATTCCAGAATTGAAATCTGGAATTGCGGCGGCGGTGGTGAATTTACATTCATCGCAGTAAGAACTTAAATCAAGTTCTCAGTTACGATTCAGTTGCGATATTATTTTATTAAAATATGTAAATGACGATTTTCTAGAACGAAGATACAATGCTAGAGGTCTTACAATTGTGCAAGAACAAAGAAATTTTTTGTGACAATTATTTCATTACTTTTACTAGGTATATGTTACTCATAATAAAGGCATAATAAAATAGTGTTTATACCAACCAACTAAATAGGTCGTACGAGACAGTCAATAACTGAAACATTTGAATACAAACGGCACATTTAGATTATATTATGCTTCTCTTGATACGAAAAGCTACCCGCAGCATCGAGTAATTCTAAGTAGAAAAGAAGTTTTCAATTTATCGCGAGTAAATGCTACAGTTGGCAGCTCAGACACCCAATTACCGCGCACAAAAGCTGATTATCGCGAGTGCGGGCGGCGCACCTCTACTACCGAGCTACAGGAATCGCCCCGCTCGACTCCTGATATCGAACGAATGTACGAAAAACTTAAGGCTTTTGAGTTAATATGGCAGCGCTCATGAAATGTTTTTATACCTATATTAAACGAAACTAAAGCCCGCGACTGAACTTGACCAAATTTAAAAAAAAAAGATTACTTTCACATGCTCATATAATCTCCAATATATAATTTATAATTTACATAATCTCGAAAGATTCATGGAAGATAGTGTAAATCTATATCATAATTATTTAAGAAGATAAAACAATTAAGTAATTTGTGCTTACTAGATTATTTTTATAGTACTTTTTTATATATGTATACTGTATAGTATACATATATTTTCTCGTTTATATTTACGACACCATATTCATAAATATAAGGAGGAAAATATATGTAAATATATAAAACAATAAAAGTTTCTATGATAACATACATATATCATCATCTCAAACTTTTATTCTTTCTAAGATAAATATAGTCTACATTTGAACTCATAAAGAACTGTAATCTTACTGACAAATATAATCGAGATCGCTTTAGTAATTTGATCGGGAATCTTTAATAAACGAGCAAGCATATACTTCCATAAATATATAATAGGTATATAAGCGTAACGAATACCGGTAGATACAATAAAGTTATATTAGTGAAAAAAAGAAAATAATGTACTAAACTTATAACTTGCTATTAATTATAATATTTATCTATACTAATATTATAAGGAGGTAAAGTTTGTGAGATTGTCAGTTTGTGACGTTGTAGGGTAATCTATGGATCTACTGAACCATTTAGATGAAATGTATTAAGAAGTTAGTTTGAGACCCTAGGAAGGACATAGGATACTTTTTATCCCGGAAATCAACTCTTAAGGGGGATTAAAATGGGGATTAAAATTTGTATCGGGAATCAAGCTAGTGATGAACACGAGCGAAGCGAGGGATTCACTATTACCTTATTCCTACATATATGCTTTTTTTTATAAGCTCATAGACTGGTGGAGCTGGATATATAATATACGATCTCAGAGAATCTAACAATATAAACTGAAACTTAAACATCAAACTCCATATTTGTAACTACAAAATGATGTAATTTTATGCAATACATTTATACGATAGATTTAATTTCTCAGGATAAAAAATATCATATCAAATAGTATATAATGTTGTATACATTTATATAGACAGTAGTATATTATCTAGTCGGGTGTGAAGCTAATAGACACACTAGAAGGCGGTGGAATACTCTTGGTACTTTTCTGGAAGCAGAGTGTACCGTAAATCCCCAGTTGTGGTGGTCTACCTGGGTAAGGCCCGCTGTCGGAGCGTCGTCATTGGGTGCTTTAGTGATCCTGCGGCACCCCATTTAGACGGTTAAGGAAGATTCCGATGAGTTTGAGTGGGTAATACTGGCTTCTCTAGCCGATGAGTTCCACATCACGAGTGTGATATGCGTGGATGTATTTACCAACAATAACAAATATACAAAACTTTATTTCCTGCTAAGCGGAATATTGTTCTATAGAAAATAAAGTAGAAGAGTTTGTTTCTTTGAACTAACGTTAATCTAGATGTTCTGGTCTGTCTGTTCTTTCGTTTTATAACATGTTTTTTGAGGAAGGTTTATAGACTATCTTACTATAATATAGGCATCAAATTACGACCTACAAGAGCTGATGATTAATTCTAGAAAATTGAAAGACGCGAGGAATCGCTAATATTTATATAATAAAAAAATATATATAAAAAACTCAACTGCATAAAAGCTAACTAAAAAGATGAAAACAAGTTCACGAAGGAATATACTCGTAGTATTATGCAGTCGGAGACGTACACCTTTCATCCTTGCCGCGAGATGTACGTACATACTCCTATGTATGCAATAAAATCTAGCAGCCCGCATATATTTTTTTATGTCACCTATATAAGAAACTTGGACTAATGAGACAAATCTAATGATACCTTAATTAAAGAAATCCATCGAGTTGTTTGGAAGATATAAGGGAATAAAGGATATTACAAACAAACATACAAAGATAGGCGCGAAAA